TGCAAACTATGAACATAAACTTTAGGGTTCAGGAGTCTCCATGTTGACAACAGTAACTTTTCTGAGACTATCAGAAGCGGATGCTCACTGTTAAGGATGAGTGTTTGGCATCTATCATGTGCTCAGCACTGAGCTAGGTACTACAGGCCATGGTCCTTATGTTCAAAGTCCTAACAATCGAATGGAATTAAGGACTGAATAGCACTCTGAGAGTCACTTAAAATATAATTATATAGGTTAGCCCTTTACAAATAGGTCTCACATCAAGTTTAAATTAAAACTAGCTTCTCAATGAAATTCTCAATGATTTAAAAGTAGCCCAGGCTGCAGAAATTTATATTCACATATTTATTCATTCATTCATTCATTCATTCACACTTCGAATGTACTCACTCTTGCTTTAGATACTCTTTACGGTAATAAAAGTGGTAGTCACAGTTCCCTTCCTTCCCTTCCTTCAAATTTCTTACCTGCAGTTCTCTCTGACTGGAATACTCTTTACCTCACTCCCATCTCCCATTGGTATAACTCTTGTTCATTTTTTCACATCCTTGATCCTCTTGACTTGGTTAAAACACGTATTGTAAGCTCCCATAGCATCCTGGGAGCCTCCCTTTGGGAAAGCTATCATATTGTACTGATAACCATAAGGGAGAGCCAAGTTTTTTTCCCTGGGGTCATGTCTCTTAAAGCCAAAGAATGAGCACCGTGGACCAGAAGATTTAAACAAAAACATAGAAAATGTATTACAAGGAGATTGACTCCCTGCATGAGGAGGGTTCCAAATAATGAGTTTCCCATTGAAGCCTTGTAGTCTAGGGGTATATATTTGCTATAAGCCTGTTCTATATGTACCTGTGTCGCCACCTGATTGATTCCCTCAATTGTTCTTGCCCAGCAACGGACCTGAACTTTCCCTGTTCCTATGCCTCAGTTCACCTTATTGCTGCAGACCCTCCCTAGTTTCACATGCCTCCCGCTCTGAGTCCAAAAACATTCCACTATTTCTGCATGGTTGGTTCCTGCAATGAGGTTGCTCAAACTGCCGTGTCTACCTCTGCTCATGTTCCACCTGCCTTTGTTTTCCACTGTACCCCTGTCCTACCTGCCTTCATGTCAAGCTAACTCCTCTCAGTATTTTATTTTTATTTTTTTACCCAATGTGTGTCTTCTTTAGTAGAATCAAAGCTCCAGGAGGACAGGGCTATGCTTGTTCTGTGACTGCAATGCCTAGAACACTGTCACAAAAATAGCAGGGACTAGATATTCATTAATTGGGCAGATATTTACTGAGCGCCTGTGTGTCCAAGCATTGTTCTTGGCACTGAGGATACAAAAGGGGAAGAAAAAAAGATATGGTCCCTTCCTTGATAGAGCTTCCATGTTAGCCAAAGTTTTGATTTGATAGAAGAGTTATCTAATTTAGGCTCATTTCCCAGATAGTGAGAAATGCCAGAGAGATTGATTTGAGTCAAGCCGCATGGAGACTTTGAGTGGCACTGTTAGTTGTTCTTAATTTCCTCATATATTGCTGCTTCTCAATACACATTTCACAAAGCAAAGGCGTGTGCGCGAACTTGTTTATTCAGTCCATGAATGCCCACAGGATGTTGAGGTCATCATGGGCTGAGGAGAGACAAACACGTGAAGAACATGACTTATATGTGCACAGTGGTTGGGTCAGTCCAGGCAGACCGCTTTGGTGATTTTTAACCAGTTGGGTCACAGCCCCTAAGAGTGGCCAGCATGTCCTTACTGTTGCTGTGGAGCCTGGGCACATGGAGTTCCCGGGGAAATGAAGATGTGGCAGCCATAGTATTAGGCCTGGTCAGGACCTGCTAAGAGCTCAGTGCTGAGCAGGGAGTTGCAGGAAGGGACTAACATGGATTATGTTGAGGAATCGGAAGGGCTCTCAGGAGATGGCTTATAAGGCAAGGGCATTATTATAATAGGAGTGTAGGAACAGCAGAGAAAGAGCTTGCTAGAGTGGGAGGTGCTTGGTGAGCAATGAAAGAATATGAGATAGGTATGGGGGACCGGGTTGGAAATGAGTCCTTGGAAATGGAAGAAATGACTATTTTCAAGAGCGAAGAGAGAACTAGGTTTAGATTTCAGCTGATTTCTAACTAATCAAACCAGCTCTTAAATTTGGAACCAGGAAGGACACCCCTGGAGCTCTGCTGGGGTTCCTACTCCGGGTTTACGCAACTGCCCTGGCGGCTTATGGAGAGAATCTCTCGTCATTCATGCTCACACGAGAGAAGCCGGTCTCGGGACAGGCTGTCATATGTCAGGTTACCACACTTGTGCCCTGAACTGAAAATGCACCCCACCCCACCAAGCTGGACAGACACGTGAGTGGAACACAGACTGTAAAGCCAACGGTCACCCTCGCCGTGGTCACCCGAGGACAGCAGAGCCTGCGAGTGACTCAGGGTAATCCTGCGATCCGTGGAGGCCACACTGACCCAGAAACCCCACCCATTCCACTCACAGCCTGCGAGCTGCTGAGGCATCTAACCAGAAAGCACCCCAATCCGGAGCAACAACCGTTTTTAAAATCAGCAGCTTTTAATGATGTGAGCAGAAATCCTCGGGCACTTTAAAGAACTGCTCTCTGGAGGGCTGTCTGCTAAGACCAGCAGTCTGCCTGGTGGGTAGAGGGAGGAAAGATCCTTTCGCTGTCTCTAAACCACAGGGGTCCAAGGAATGAACTGCAGCCGGCTTGGGGTGGGGGTGGAGGTGGGGGGTGGGGTGTCAGGAGAAGAGAAACCAGAGAAAGTCATGCATACAAAGTCTGTAAAGAAAATGTTTTATTTAAAGTGTTAAATACCATCACCAGAATGAGTTTGATTTACATTAGTTGGTGTTCTTTACAGGACTAATCTGCCCTTTTTTTTTTTTTTTTATTTTCCAACTGGAATTCCCTTTAGTTTTAAAACATACTATGTACAGGGCAGCAATGGTCACTGGAATAGTGCTATTTACATGACTAAACCACAAGTTGAGGTGCAGACATGTGAAAATTAAAAAAAAAAATACACCAACTTTTAAATAAATACTGCACAATGACACGTATGTACAAATATTCCATACAGTCATGTCCTTATTAAAATTAGAAAGAATTTATATAGGAATATACACAAAAGATTATGTGACCGCGTCTTAGTGTCAGGGGAATGGTAAACGTTTATTCTAAGGGAGAGGATAGACTCTGTAGGTCTATGGAACCAATTGTTGCTGGTACACAGGTGTCTAGATTACTTCGGTCAAGTTTTACTCATTCTCTGAACGGCTCTGCCCGGGGCCATCACAGATCTCAGAATGCCAAGACACAATCTCGGTGTTATTTCATATCGCACCACATAAAGAGAAGGCATTTTTAGTGATACTCATTTTAACTTCTGCACCATAGCAAGCATGATAGTTTTAAATGGTCACCACTCAATTTAAAAAGAGAGAAAGAAAAAAGAAAAAGCAATTTTTGTGCATGGCCTTAAAGAAATGACATGGATGTGGATTTCAATAGTCATTGCAAGAGATTAAATCAACCTATGTGTTACAGAGTGTACATAAAGAAACAGGAAGTCGGGTGGTTTATTACGTTAACCAGCGACTTTTCCGACACGGAGGGGGGGGAGCCTTTAAGAGAAATCTGACCTCGTAGCACCACCCAATGGCAATAACTGTCTGTAAAATCAAAGACAGGGGTCTGACTTGGGATTTGTGTGTGGACTTTTGGTGATGGCATCAAAGAACTATGAACAGGCAGAATGACTGCCTTTGAGTCATCTAAAAATTGGAGCTTTAAAATTATTTATTGCAAATTCATGTTTACTCTATTTATTTAGAAATACAATTTGTGAAAAATTGAATTTTTACTACAGAAAAAAATGAATTAATAAACAGCCCTGTGTTCCAGGGCCCAAAGTTTTAGCAGTGTTTCTATTCACATAGTAAATGGAAACTGGATAAAGAAATTGCTTTAATTAATTAAAAAGCGAAACCCAAGACCTTGTAGAAATAATACTTTAACCCCTGTATGAATAATGCTGGTGCTAAAAACAAATTCATTGGACATTACAATGGCCACATGATTTTAGAATTTTCCTGTAAACTAAACTTGGAAGGCGAAAATAAAATTACCATGCACTCACTGGACAACACATTGCAAAAGTTCAACTATCTTCCTTATCAAATACATGCTGACTTACTTTAGTGCACTCCCAAGTCATGTTGCAAAATCCTTTCCAACATATTGAAATACAGAAAGCTCTTAAATTTTTTCCCCTTGAGAAATTCATAAATTCAGAAGCATCTACGGCTCTGAATCAAACCTGGGGTACAAGAGAGTATCAGGTCAAAAACTGGTAATTGTTTAGAATAAAGTTCACTCTGGTAGAGAGAAAGAAAATAAAAGATTAAAAGAGGGAGGAGGAGAAAAGGAAGGAGAAAGATGTGAACAATTTGCACATATTGAACTTCCTTAGATATGTATATTTAACATGGAAATAAATGGAATATTCACTTATTTGTCACAAAGAGAATTTGAAGGAACTTCTAGAAAGTATTTTCTTTTGTAATGTCTGCCAAAACACAGACTATGATTAAATAATAAACATGGCGTGTCTTTGTATCACCCTGTTGCATTCTTGCCCCTTTTTAAAACCATGCACTAGTGAAATTTATTTTTAAAAATAATATAAATTGTTGAAAATGGCTGAGTTTTATTCTTTTTTTTTGTTTGTTTGGTTTTTTTGCAAGTTGCAGCCCCAAGAAAATAACTTAAGTATTCAGCTAATCTGTGTCCATGCAGAAAGGTTTCTTTAATTTCATTCAGTACAGTGTAGCCACAGAATTTTGTTTCCCACAGTCCAACACATCTTGGCGTGAGGGAGTGAGGGCTGCTGGGGCTCCGAGGTCTGCCCGGGTGCACGCTGGCCTGGCTGCTCCCGGCCGCTGCCTGGGGAGGGCTGATGCTCTGCCTCGGACCACTGCTCTGGTCTCCTGCTTTTCACCTGATGCTTCCTAGACTTCACTCCTTGACTTATCACACGGCTTAGTGGCTGTATCGCTCACTCCATTTCTGTGGCATAGCAGGGCTTTGGGGGTCAGAGAAATGAAGAAAAAGGAACGGTAAAAAGATAAAGGTGCCATTGAAAAGGGCTTTTGTTGCATGAGACTGACTGATTCTTTGAGATTAATCCATGGCTTCAGATTGGACCAAAATTTGAGTGTTACTGAACTCCAAACCTGACAGTTCTCCACCGCGCTGCTCTCTCACCGGAGGGCCTTCTTTAGGGCACAATGTGTGCGACTTCCTCTGAGAACACAGGATCGCTTTGTATCCCTAGAAACAGGCTCAGAAGACACAACATTAAGCATGCAGTGTTACCAGGGTTAGCGACCTGTGATTTTTTTTTTTTGTAACGCTGGTTGCTATGACAACAGTTTTACAGCTGCTATGAACGAGAGTAAGAAGGTCCCGTTGAACTTTCCAGAGATGACTGGGATGCTCTTCTTGTCAGAGGGGCCAACGTTGGATCTACGAGGGAGGAAGTGGGGAAAAGTTTGAACCATCCAATCACCATGTTGGACAGCTCCAGTTCATCTAAAAGTATCTGGGCCACTCCCATGAAAGATTTGTGATCCATGCGGCCATAATCTCCCCAGACAATGATCTGTTGGCAAAATAAAAAGGAGAATAATGATAGTACAATCATGTGTGTAAAAACTTGTAAACTCAAATACATTCAGCGCTGGCATCAAACATCATGTTAAAAAGTTGTACTGGCTACTGGGATCGTTGTCTTTCACTACCAGAATCCAAAGGTGTACTAGGAAAACTCTATCAAGTGTGAAGACCGTAAGTAGTCCAGAAAGATTTATCACATGTGATGGGGTTGGCTAGTCTATACTTCACTTTAAAGGAAACAACAGTGTCTGTAGCTTTACAGCACGGGCCACTGCTTTGAAGTTTCCCAAGAATTTCAGCGGTGAGGAACAGAAGAGCACGCGGTAAGTAAGGCTGCTGGCGACAAGGTCTGACTCCATGAAAGCGCGTTCCTAGGTAAGGGATAAACAATTCAGTAAGTACCTGTAAGACCTTTCCTTGGGGACTTTCTTCGAAAGATAACAGCTGCTGGTATAGGGGTTCCAGCGTTTTCCGTGCCACTTTTGTTTTCTTTTTGGCTACGCAGACTCCATTATCCAGTAGATACACCTTTACGTATGGTGCTTGGGGAAGAAAAGACAGAGGAGAGTGAAGTGATGCGCTGTGGTTATGAAATACCCAACTCACGGGTGACATCTGCAACAGGTTAACCTTGTCAGAAAGAGCTGGCACCCACAGTCACCGGCCTTTCCACGTTAGGAAGACAAAAGGTAACTATCAGCTAGCTATTCAGGCAGTTTTAGGCAATGTGGACAGCCTCTAAATGACTACTAATTTGCCATCATAGATTTGCATTAACTAAGGCCAAATGCTTCTAGTCCCTACCAGTATTCAAGGGAGACCTCTTACTCTTTCATCTGTCAACACTTCAATCTAATCAGACATGCTTTAATCTATACTGTTTTATTCACCTATCCCCATGAATCACTTAGTTATCACTCAAGGGGGTTTTTACTTGGAGAGTAAATTTGTTTAATAAACACAAAGGGTTTGTTTATTCATGGTGGTGTGGGCACACGACGAGGCTGAGGTTTTGTATAATATGTCCAATTAGCTGGGAAGAGGAAACGAATGCTGAATTCCGTAGCTTGAGATTTATCTGACCGGCTCTTCATGAAAGCATTTTCATGCGTGTAGAAATGATCTTATTCTGTCCAAGGGAGTGGGTCGACTCGCTCCAAGAGCTGTCTAAATACACCTGCCTCAGTCACCACCGCAAGGCTGGACAGCAGGTCATCTACATTATAACTCAGAATTTCTGCAGGGGTGGCAAAGTTAAGAGATTCAAAATCACCACCAGCCTGTGGAGGTGCTGAGGTGAGAAACTTCGTTTCAGAATCCTCAGTAGCTGTTCTGTCATCAGATCCGGACAGACATCCCTGCACAGCGCAGGAGTCTGAGGCACTGCCCATGCTACAAGCAACTCAGTACACGCACGCCTTCAGTACGAAATATGTGGCATCGTGAAAATTGATCACGATGCCTCATTTCCTTTATACACTACAGGAAGTCAGTCTTATCATGAGAATGACCTGCATAAACAGGCTTATGCTACTTTGGGGCCTGTATCTGTTTTTATTATAATTCCAGGACCTAAGGGTTCCTGAGGAAAATTTTGAAGCTCCAGATAAATCGAAGAATAACACAAAACACCAGCTAATGAGAAAAAGAATTAGTAATGGACATGCTGTACGAAGTGAATGATCTGTGTGGTAGTTTTTATTGTGCAGCGGTTTCTACTACATACGTACGCGCTTATCTAACAACATCTATTATCCTTACCGGGCCACCCTCACTGGTGCTCACTCAGAACACACACACACACTACTACAGATAACCGACTCATGTTAGAATCCTCGATGACCTGAAAACAAAGTTTTCAGCAGCTAATAAAAAACAAAGTCTCCGAATTGCAGGATGTGGATTGTGAGCAATAATAGAAGAATCTCTTCTGCTCTTACCTGGCAGTGTCTTGGAACCTGGTTTGACAACAAGGCCACGGGCCCGGATGATTTCCACCTCCAACTGTCCCTTTTTGTCCATCATTCCCACCTGAATGTCACCTGGTTGTATGTGAGGGAGAAACAAGCAGAACTTAATACACAAATGCAGTCAGAAAAGTGCTATCCAAAGGCCTTAGCTTAACATCATTTCATCATTTCCCATTTACTTTCCTAAATTCATATAGATTCCACATTTTATGAATAGCATCTCACTTTAAAAAGCATATAAATGAAATGGGGAAAAAATTAAAGATTTTTTTAAATTGCTAAAATATAAAATACTTATTCCTGCTGATAATACTGTTAAGAATCCCAGGAAATGGAAGAATGTGATTCTCCACAATCTAAAAGAACAACAACAGAATCATGCGACAGAAATCCTTACCCATTGCAGGTGTAGCCAGAGTCTGGCGCCCCACTAGCTGGGCAGGGCCAAGGCCATCCAGAAAATCGCTGAACTGGCTGTCAGAGGCCAAGCGGACACCAGGGAAGATCAGACTAAAAGCAGAATAACACATGGGATTAAACCCTCAACCTCTGTTTCCAATCAGCCAGCCCAGGTTTCCCGGTAGCCCCTTCCTGCAGGAGCTGTGGGAACCACTGCTTGGCCACTTGCATTGATTGGATCCCATGGTCCTCCCTCCTTATTCTCTTGCGGCCCATGTGTGTCACCAGGAGCACTGGTCACACTGGACTGCAGGCTTCCGCGTACGTCTTTCTCTTCCTTGTCTGGAGGACATGGACTATGGTATCTATTGATAGCGCTCAGGACATATTGAACACTTACTCTGTGACCCGCATTATCATATTTGATCATCTTAGCTGCCCTAGGAGATAGATGCCATTATTTACCATTTTATAGATGAAGAAACTTTTTTCCTATCACTCCCACCAGCACACAAACATACCATTATTTCTTCCACCTTAAAAAAAATTCCCTCCACTAGCCCCACTTGCCTCTCCAGCTACCACCCCATTTCTCTCCTGAAACTCCTCGAAAGAGTTGTCTCTGTGTGCTGTCTTCAATGTCTTCCCTCTCACTCTCCCTTGAAACTCTACTACCTTTTTCCTTGCTCTCTTCCTTGCTTTATCTTCTCCACTCCACTAAAATGTCTCTGATCAAGGTTACCGAGTAGCCGCAGTGGTAAATTGAGCCGCTAATACTCTGTACTAATTAGTACGATTTAACTTAGCGTCATTTGACACAATGGATGCCTGTTTCTTCCTTGAAACCTGTTTTCCACTTTGTTTCCCAGACTCTAGTCCTGGTTTTACTTTTTGGCCACTTCACCGCAGTCTCCTTTGCTAGTTCTGCCTATATATTGGGAGCTTGATCCTTTGACCTCTTATCATTTCCACGCCCTCATTCCCGTGGTAACCTCCTCCAGTCTCATGGTTTTAAACACCATCTATACCAGCGGTTCTCAACCTGTGGGTCGCGACCCCTTTGGCGGTCGAACGACCCTTTCACAGGGGTTGCCTAAGACCATCCTGCATATCAGATATTTACATTACGATTCATAATAGTAGCAACATTAGTTATGAAGTAGCAACGAAAATAATTTTATGGTTGGGTCATAACATGAGGAACTGTATTTAAAGGGCCAGAAGGTTGAGAACCACTGAATTCTATACTGATGTTGCCTAGAATGGCATCTCCAGCTTGGGACTCTCCCTTGGGCCGCAGACCTGTATTCCAACTGCTTTGTCAACATATCTGCTTGGATGGCTAATAGGCAATGAAGTATAACTTGTCCCAAACCCCAAGCAAACAAAAAACACAAACTCTGTTCCCCTCAGAGGGTCCCCATCTGAACCCCCAACTTTACCCTTTCAATTAATCTTCGAGATGTCTTTGCTCTTTGTTATAGGTTGAACTGTGTTTCCCCCTCCCTCTCCCTCTGGGAAATTCATGTACTGAAGCCTTAATCCCCAGTATGACTATTGGGAGACACGGCCTTTAAAGAGCTAATTAAGGTTAAATGAGGTCACAAGGGTGGGACCTTAATCTAATAGGATTGGTGTCTTTCTAAGGAGAGGGAGAGATGGCAGGGACATGCACCCACAGAGAGAAGACCACGTGAGGACTCAGTGAGAAGGAGGCCAACGGCGAGGCAAGGAGAGGGGCCTCAGGAGAAATCAATGCTGCTGACACCTTGATCTTGGATTTCCAGCCTCCAGAATTATGAGAAAATATACTTCTGTTGCTTAAGCCACCCAGTCTGTGGTATTGTTATGGCAGCCCTAGCAAACTAAGACACTCTCTTTTTCTCATGTCATATCACATGCATCAATATTACTGGCTCTACTATCAAAATACATCTAGAATTTGACCCCAATAATGCTACCACTCTGGCCCAAGCCCTCATTTCCAGCTTCTGCATGACTGCAACAGCCACCTTTGCTCGCCGCCCCCACAGCAGGCAGAGTATGTCAGACGTCAGAGGGATGTCTGCTCAAAACCCTCCATTGACTTCTCATCCCTCAGAGTAAAAACAAAGTCCTTACAATGAGGTGTACAGACTACACAAACTGCCCACCCCTGCTCGCCACGTCTCAATTCCTAGTCTGTTACCACCTCTGCCCTACTCCGGTGCTGCCCTCCACTGCTGACGGCTGCCAAGCTCCTGCCTCAGGGCCCCAGCACCCCTTCAGCATAGAATGCTCCTCCCTCAGATATCCATATATTCACTAACGTCCTTCAGATTTTACTTAGATGTATCCTTTTCCCGGTCTACCCTACATAAAACCTTACACATACCCTGTATCATCTCTCTTCCTTTCTTTGTTTTTCATCTGAAAACTTATACCACCTAATCTACTACATATTTTAATAGTTTTTCTTCTTTAACGGCTATCTTGTCTACTATACTATAGGTCTGGTGAAGGTAGAGTTTGTTTCTTCTATTTTGTTCATTGATACATCTCCAGCACCTAGAACTGTGCCTGGGGCATTGTAAGCACTTAATGAGTAATTGTTAAGCTCAATCAATTAATTAAAATGAAGCCTAGAAACTCACCCAAGTTTCTATAGTGCCAAAAAACAGATGAGAACTTAAGCCTATATGATTCTCAAGTCCAAGGTCTGAACCACCCACTGATTTTGGCTCCCTTGTATGGCTTATATCCCCAACTCATAGCACAGTGCCCAGAACTATGGAAGTTCTAAGTTCTGTTTGTTGAATGAATTTAGGAGTATTCATCCATTTCTCCAATAAGACTATAAACATCTGAAGTGAGGGGTGGCAGCGTGAACTTATGATACCCCTAACGTATCTATCTAACATGGTGCTTTGCAAAGACGAGTGCTCAGTGCACATTGACTTTGTACTCGAATCTCCCTCTTTTAAGGCATCCTTGATTCACATAGAATCTTGTCTTCCCCCAAACTTAGTCCCCAAATACATAGTTAATCCGAACATTGTGATGTTTCCATAAGTATCCCACATAACCTTATTTATAAATGCAGAGAATCCATATACAGCTCTTGGATTTATAGAATCGTGCCAGACAAATGGTCCGTAGGACATATCATGAATATTCTGCCAGCACTGCCTATGGCCTCACACCGGTGAACTGGCCCATGTGTGTTGTCTAAACAGCTGATGCTTCCGTGGGGATGACAGAGTGAAGTCAGTACCCCCCACTTTCCTCTATTAATGTCACTTATGCACCATCTGCTGATCTGCAGTTGCTAATTACTGTTAGATTGTTGGTGACAAGGCTACACAATCTTCATAAATGCTTCCACAATATCTCAGGTGCAGCCGACTCAAGGGGAAGCTGTGTGGTAACTACGTACAGGAAAGGCTCCCAATCTGTGGCATTCGGCTACTACGTTTGTCTGCACTGCTTGCTACTGCATGGAACGAGGTACCCAGCAGTGTTCTGTACTTTGCAGGAATGAGTCTCAGAGCAAAGATTTTTCAAATCAGCATTGTTCACACAGTAGTGGCATGAGTGCTTATTATTTTTTGTGTGTTTAGGTGCATTGTTTCAAGCTAGGGCAGATTTTCAATCGCATGCATTGTGAAAGTCCCATTTTAGCATCTTGCTATTAAAGCCCAACATTTTATCCCCAGACCTAGGTCCCTGGTATAAAAAGCCAGGTAATGCCACATCTCTCGGTGGCAGGTGAGCCACGTTCCCTCCACAGCAAATCGGTGAAAACCAAGATGGCGCTGCAGTGTGGGAGGCAGTTTTTGTGACAACAGAGAGAGGGGGGCCCGGAGGGCTGCGCATCGCAGGTGGCTCACTCACTTTCCTTCGGAGCTGTAGCTGTTCATGCTGCCGTCGGTGGACTCCCGGCTCGCCTGGCGGGTCATCCAGTTCCTCATCTCCACGGCCAGGCCTGTTTCTGTGCTCCTCTGCACCGTGCTCCGCAGCTTCTTACCTCCTGCCTCTGCACAGACAGAAAACAAAAGGGGTGACGGATTGGCCATCGCCACCTGGTGAGAAGGATCAGCCCACACTCCGAGGTCCTCAGAGGAAAAGAGCTGCGCTCTTATTCAGGAAACAGAGAGAAAAGGTGTTTCAAACAACGCCTTGTTGAGTGGGATGAACATTTTCTAAATGTCTTCAAGCACAAAATGCCATTGTTTTATTTCCATTTAAAACAGTGTTCAAACTGGTAACAAAAGAAACAAAAAGGTTCAACCTCCGGGAAATATAATAAGCTTTGTTTTTATTGTAATATTTAAATGCAAGATTGACTTAAACCTGTCTTTTTCTTTTTCCTTTCTCTTTGGCATAGTAAAAGAACAAGGCTTTCACATGATTTCCAAAGAGCAGGTAGTGAGTAATACTCAATGCTAGCCTTAACTTTCACATGGAATCCTGTGTTTTGCAAGATGATTGATGTTAGAAGGCAAGGACAGCTATCCAAGGGAGATAGCCTTGTTTGCTAATAGTTCCCCATCTGTTGGTAACTTTCAGAGAGATTCCCAAAGGAATACAAAAACCCAGCAATGTCCGGTAAAAAGAGCTTTTTAATATCTGGTCATGGGTAAGTCATGTCCTCAAGGACCTTCAGCAGTTTGGATCAGTTTGGATATGAGGTTTACTTATAGAAGTCAATTAAAAGACCAAATAGGAAACGGAGTCAAGTACCACAGATGTGACAGAGGTGAGGAGTGCTATCTGAGTGGTCAGGGAGGAAGGAGCGTCCCCATAGAGGGAGTGGAATTTGAGCTGAGCTTGCAAAATGGGCAGGTTGGGGCCCAAGGAGAAGCAAGAAGGCAGTGCCTTTGCCGAGGGAACGAGCATGGACAAAGGTGTGAAGAGGATGTGCCGCTGAGGGATGGTGCAAATAATCAAAACATATGGAGGAGTAATGGTGGGGGTGGGTTAAATGATAAAGGGCCTTGCATGCTGGCATGCGGCGTTGAGAGACTACCAAAGCTGGGCCAACAGGGTGATAGTCCAAATGATCTGTAATACTTTACTTCTTGTCAGGTCTAAATATTTATCGACATTGACCATGCATATCATTAGCATTCTGGGGATTCAATAAGCTCTTTTAGTGTCTGGTATTAATGAATTCATTTCAGATCAACACATATTTGCTGACACTGCCAGTGACTTGATGAAATTCCTTTCACCAAACCTCTCGTAGTATTTGTTCACCATTTGAAACACTGTTTTAAATTTTATCTATTCTCCACTTCCACCTTTAATGTACATCAAATGCTTTAAAAAGTATATAATAAAGTAACAGTTATGACTCATTTCCAGGCTCAGTTCCATAATCTAAGGTTGATATCTAAAATAATTGATAATAAACATGTTGTACTGATATGAACTTAAGATAATACAAAGTATCCCCCGTTGATGAGAGAAAACTCTTCTTGACAGAGGAATGTTCGTTAAGAAATGTAAAAGGAGTCCGGCTGGTGTGGCTCAATGGTTGAGCATCGACCTATTATCCAGGAGGTCACGGTTCCATTCCCAGTCAGGGCACATGCCCAGTTGTAGGCTTAGTCCTCAGTAGGGGGTGGGCAGGAGGTAGCCAATCAATGATTCTTTCACCATTTGTGTTACTATCTCTCTCTCCCTCTTCCTTCCTCTGTAAAATCAACTATGTATGAAATGTAAAAGGAATAAATTTTAAAATTACCAATTTGTAACCTCCAATGGAATGAATGATTCAAAGAAGGCACATTGATGAATGCTAACATCACTAACTATTCATATGAGCCAAAAAAAAAAAAAAATCTTTCCACGGATTAGTTCTACTTGCTAAAGGAAAAACACACTTTAACACTGGGAGACCTGGCTATCACCATTGCAATCAAGTGGTCAAATTTAGCAGCAGTAATAGCAGGACAATCATATGTGCTTCCTAATACAACCTACACAATATCACCTATTGAGTTGTTCTGAACAAACATATACAACCGGTTTCTCATCAGATCTTTGGAACCAACTTCTAGTTTTCAAAAATACAGAAGATAGGGTAAAAAGATAAATGACAATAAAAAAAACATCAGACAAACCCAGAACATGGGATTTCATTCAAGAGAATTGGCCTAATCTCTTAAAACAGCTAATATCATGAAAATAAACAAACTAACAAGGTTGAGTAAATTGTTCCAGATTTAAAAAATATCATAGAGATGTAACTATTAAAAGCTGTGAGTGATTGCTTTAAATTTTTTTTTTTTTTGTGGGGGGGGGGGGGGGACCAAAAACAAGAAACCCATAAAAGCAAAACACTCTAAAAGCAATAGAACAGATTGGCTGTTAAATGAGATAAGGAAATTATTAATTTTCCTAGGTAGATCATGGCATATCTTATAAAAGATTTCCTTATTTATTACAGGAAAGATTTATACCTGCAATGTTATATTACTTGCAATTTATTTTACAATGGTATAGCAAAAAAATACATATAACAAAGAGGTTAAAGTGTTTAAAATAAAAGGATAGGGAGGAAAAGTAGATCTTGGTATTTATCAATTTAATATGCATGACTTTATTGAGAGCAATTCCCAAATGGCCACATCAAAAAGCAATAACATTTTGTCCAGGTGTGAACTGGAATCATGGAAGGAACTGGGCTGGCGTGAGGGAGCCAGGCCAAGGGCTGAGTCCTGATCATGTAGCTTTCCTGCTCACTTCCTGCGAAGAATGCCCTGTTAACAATGACCACCAAGTGAGATATACAACCTCCGTTAAGTCTGAAAATGTGGAGTGAGGATATGTACAGGAAACACGACTTTCAAAGCAACGAGATTCCTAAAGGTCTCAGGACAAAGCCCTCGCAATGGCAAAGGTGAACTGTTTTACGTGTAATGTCTGAGTCTCTCACAGCAACAGCGAGGAGAAAATCTGCTGTTACAGGGCGATCCAGCTATCACTTGTCAAAGAGCAACAATACAATGAGCATGGGGTCCTCCTGTTTACAGATTGCTGTCTACATGCATCCTCTTCAGAACAACTCTAGGGATCCCATTTTACAGATGGTGCATCTGAGTCCCCAGAGGGTTACACAGATCCCTGACACCACATAGAACATGACAGGACCAGAGTGTGCGCAAGTTCCCAGACTTCAAATTCCCTGCTATTCACCGATTGACTGTCAGATAACCAATGGGCAGCCTGTGCAGCTGACAATGGAGACGGCCCTGAGCTAACTCTGCACTGCGTGTGAGAGGCCCTGTTACAGCAGCTGGGGGCGGGAGGAGCAGAGCACAGTGAAGAGGTCAGGTCCTGGTGTCAAACTGTCTCTCTGACCACCTACCAGCTGGGTGATGCCGACTAAGTTATCCTCCCATGACTCAGTTTTCTCAAACTGAAATGGCGTTGACAATAATGATGTCTACCTCATAGAGCTTTTGTGAGGATGAAAGAAAATAATATATTTAAAGTGCTTGGGGTAGTACCTATTATATAGAAAATCTTCAATTAATGACACTGTTATTACTACCAGGTAGGGAATCAGTAAGCATGTATTCTAGGCCAATCTCTACCACTAATTAGCTGGCCCTGTGGCCTTCTCTGAGTCATATCCCCTGAGTCTCTGGTTCCTCACTTACAAAAAAAGGGAGGATGACAGATGATCTCTGATCTCTTAGCTCTGAAGTCTCCTAGTTTGTATCATTAGTGTATGACCAGGACCATGGTTAATAGCATGCGTTGAGGAAGATAACGCTGCTCATTATCACCTGCTGGAATCAAAGAATTCTAGGCAGTATGCTGGGCATTTATAAGAGCTCCTTAAAATATGTCTTTTAAATGTACTTTTTCTGATACATATATACACTTATTTAAAAAAGTAAATGTTTTCCAGTACCACAAATCCTTTGCATCTCATTCATAATAAAAGGACTTTAATATAAATATAATTCATTTAGTGTTCCAAATGCTCTGTCATGTTATTCAACCTGAAACCTGAACCTATATAACATTGACGGTTCTACATGAAGTGAGTGTGGTAGGCAGAATTCTAAGATAGCCCCCATGATTATGTTACTTTACAGGTATTTTGCAGATGTGATTAAGGTTACTAATCAGTTAACCTAACGATACGGAGATTATCTTTGTGGGCCTGACATATACACATGAGACCTTTAAAAGCAGAGGGCTCTCTCTGGAAGGTTCCAGAAAAGTCAATAGGGAAGATATGAAACACAAGAAGGATTCGGTGTACATTTAATACTGGCTTGAAGGTGGAGGGGACTCTGTGGAAAGGACCCGAGAGCAACCTCCAGCTGCGGACAGCAAGAAAACAGGGGAGCTGGATGCCCTTGGAAGCAGATTTTCCTCCAGAGCCTCCAGGCAAGAGCTCAGCCCAGCCACCACATTGATTTCAGCCACGAGACACATTAAACAGAAAACCCAGACATGCCATGTGCGACCTACAGAACAGTGAATAATGAATGGGTGTTTCTTTAAGCTGCTGAATTCGTGATAATCAGCAATAAGTACTTTTTTAGATAATTATTAATGAAGAGATCTATGAAAATAATTTATTATAACCATAGGAGTAGACCAACTAAAATTATTTGTAAGAGCTCAATAGCCACGATAAAAAAGTGTACATATATTTCTAAAAAGTATATATACATACATATCCTACCTATCTATAAATGCATAATGTGTGTGTGTGTGTGTGTGTGTGTGTGTGTGTGTGTTAAGATGTTTAAAAATACTCAGGTAGCAAACTGTAGAACTAAGGCCCAGATTATGTTTTAGAGCCCGTAAACCACTCACTCTCCTGTTAGGTATTTTAAGCCAACGAGCATGTGGAGAGAATGCCTGCAGGTAAAAATCAAGTTCTGAATTGCAAAACATCACAGGCAGAAAGCTGAACACAGGAGGCGCCCCGTTATTCTGCTCTGCTTAGTCTGATGACTCATTTACTTGGCACACGCTACATGCAAAGAAAGCCTCTTGATTAAA